TTTTTGATGTTTTTGCTGAGGGTTTGAGCTCACTGAAGTCATATGTGGGATTGCTGACGTTTGAACTCTTGCACCTACGATAAATGCAGCCTTTTTCTCCAGAACAAAAACCTAGATTGTGCGTCATTTTCCTGTAAAAGCTCGAATCTTGGCAATACTCTTTAAGATGGCCTTACACTAGAAAACTATGATAAGACTTAAAAAAGACTTTAAAAAGACTAAAGTATGACACCTTCTCACATCTAAAGTCATAAACTACAATTTTGCATTCAGGTCTTAGGATTTCTGTGAGATAATCAACAACTTCAAATAGTAGTTTCATGCTCATAAATCTAGATTTTAAATGTTTATAATAAAAAAAATTGATGATAAACTATGTTGCAATTTCAACTCTGCATTAGTTTGAACTGCAAATCCTTGTTTTAGCATATATGTCGTCCTACATCCCAAACAATACTTTTAAGAAACACCATGTTGTTCCTATTACAGAGTAAAATGATTGAATTTTTAATTAATAACTGTTTACAATTCAGTTTCCATTTGAGCACCATGAATTATGTGGTTACGTTTTTCATTTTATGCAACAGTGGACTTTTGTTTCAGCTCCATTCAAGCTCCAAGATCTAATTCTAGATATGTCTCTAGGATATTAATTAGTTTCTTTCAGGAAGCCAAGTGGGTCCTTCAAACTGCCATTTGATGATTTTAAATAAAAGTCTACAAATGCTGAACTGGCTGTCAGGTCATGTGGAAGAAGCTTAATGAAGGAACCGGATGTGACCTTGGTACCCTCATCAGAGAGTCAGATCAACAGCAAGTCTTCTTCACACTGCTTAGCTGTAATCAGGCATAAAATGATCTTTACCAGCAGGTGGCAGTCTGTCATAAGGACAGTCAGTGAAACCACCAGAGATAGAGTTCTGGAACAGGGAATTTTTGTTATGCTTTTACAGTCACATACTGTAGACAGAAAATCTCTCATTAACTCAAGGAAGTGACTTATGCTGCCAACAATGCAGGAAACCGTCGGTGGTCAGTCTGCTTTGTGAACCACTGCATGTTGTCTTTAGTCTGGGTTTACACAGGAGGGAGGCTTCTCCATACACTTTATGGTCCTGCCTCAAAGCTGCTTTAAAAAAAAAAACCTCCTCAGGCAGAAATATGATATAAAACCGGGAGTGGGGTGTTGGGGAATAAAATAGTGACAATGACGTTGTTCTAATTTTGTAATCCTGGTCGGTGACTAATTGATTGGTATGGGGAAATAAATGTTCATTCTCTGTGTGGCTTTATTGCTTTATCTCAGTCAGTGGGGGGAAAACTGATAAACCACTATGAAAGACAACTGGTCCCAGTTTTTCAGATGTAAGGATGATGGCAGTGAATCAGCTTTGTGTAATTGGTTTGCTATATTACAATTATTTATCTAAAACATGTTGCATATCAGTACATCTCAATAAATTGTGTTCATTTGTTACTGGATCCAAATTTTCCTTGTACTGGAAATTTATATTCACTCTTTTTTTTTTGTTTTGTTTGTTTGTTGTTGTTGTTGTTATTTGGACACAGCCTTTCATTTTGTCCCTACTTTCTTTTCTTTATCATAACACAGATGTATCTGACAGAGATACACTTTAAGCAAAATCAGAATTGGTGGCCTTGTTTTCATGACTGATTGCTTTTCTGTGAAATCACACAAATTGATCAATGACTCTGATGGTGGATGTGGTTCTGTGGTTTACTCTGTAACACCATCAAATTGTGAATGAACTGTGACTTGATTATGGCATTTTTTTTCAGCCTTCAAAGGACTGTGGTGTTTGTGATGGTATATAACGTTTTCTGACAAGAAGCCTGTTGTGTGGTAGCACCAGGGAGCACATCATGCTTGCTTGTTCATGTCTGATCAGAATCCAGGTAGATCAATATGACCCTCAATTAAAAAATAAATAAACGAGACATATATATATATCATGCCGTGCATTTTCCCGAGCCCTCTATAGTGAAGGTACCGATAGTCTTGGTTATTTGGTTAGAACTGATGGTTCACTTTGCTTAGAGATTTGGCTCATGTACAAAGCAAAATATTGGTTTTAAACATGGTGAAACAAACCACCCAGAAAAAAATCCAAATTGCATTTGAGCAGAGAAGACGACAGCAGTGTAGAGGTCACTGGCGCTATAGTTTTTACAGTACGCTCATGTTCACTTGAGAATTTCCCTTGCAAATATGCACCAAACCATTTACTGACCCTAAAGTGCAAATGAGTTATAATGTCTGTGGAAGGTTGCTACACCCTGAGTTGGTTTACTGCAGAATGTGAACATGAAGTGGTCTGTAGACAGACCCCTCTCTGTCCCTCAGGAGCTGTGGTTAACAGCCACATTAGCCCCACAGACAGCAGGTCACTGGAGTGAAAGGTCTCCTCTGCTGCTCTATCTGAAGCACACAGCTCCAGTATTTCCTCTTATTTGTCATCCTTATCTTATATCTCCTTCTAAATCCTGCCCTGAAACTCAGCATCTGTGTCCACGAAACTAGGCCAACATGATAAGAGTTGTCGCACTGATTAAATTACAGTAATAGCATGAAACTGTATGTAAAACATTCCTATTACTGAACCAGACCATGAGCTTTATGAGCTTTCGGGTGAACATTAAATCACATGAAAGTGTGCACATGTTCACTGTATGGATTCAGGGCATGTTATATTTCAAAGAGGAGTCTGCTGACAGCCTTTGAGACCTCTCAGACACAGCAGGACTGAATAGTCCTCACTCAGACTACATGGGCTTTCCAGCAACATTACATGGCAACAGATATCAAAGGAATTCATACACGGCGGTGGGGGGAGTTGCCAGAGCTGTGAAAAGGCTCAGCTGTTATCTACAGTAAGTGCCACTCGCTGCATTATTGCTTTGCGGTAATGAGAGTTCTGGCAGTGCTGCTAAACTGCAGCAAGGCACCAGTAGAAAAGTAGAGTTCTCTGGGGCTTAATGTATTGAATGCTGTTGAGTAAATACAAGTCAGGAAGTACTGACTCATTGAGAGAAGTGAACAGGCAGAACAGAACCTACATGTCTTTCTTTTTTCAAAAATAACTGATGCACTAAGTGGGGGGTAGGTGTATCCTTAGTTAGCATACAACAAATGCTGACTTCATGTGAGAAAGTAAAAGACCAGTAAGGGAGTTTAGTTGACATCTTTAAAACTGCATAAGATAATTTTTTGGCCACATGGATGCAGCAAAAACAAACTGTAAACACAATGTTGACATATTATCATGTTTTAAATTAATATGGCAAAACTACCAGTTTAATATGGCAAAACTACCAGTACACAGAAGCTTATTTTCACATCCAGCAGGTCCAGTGCAACATTTTTATTTATTTGGAGCCATGTTTCTGGTCACCTGATACTTTTAAGTCCAATATTCATTCTTTTTTCATCTCTGGATTTGGTCTCTGGCTCTTAAATGCTCCATTATGTTCATCAGCTAATTTTGCCTGCTGGGAATAGTTACCCTCTTTTGCTGGAAATAAAGCTGATGAGACTGTTCCACAACAGTGGGCCAGAAATCCAAAGCAAAGACCTAAAAGATGCTAAAAAAAAGTTCCATACAGCTGAGGGGACTTGCAGATTCAGGTGAGAATAATGTTTTATCACATCTAGTGACCCTTTACACATAGTCATGTGATCTGCTGATAGCATCCACTTTAACATGACTGAATGAGGGCATGAGGAATTTGTTGTGAGCCTCTCAGTCTCTCAGAAAGTATGTGTATATATGTATTATTAAAGTGGCTTCTCAGTTTCAGTTATGTTAATCACTACCACAACTAGAACCTTTCCCCAAGTTTAACCAGGTGTTGCCAGCACCTAAACATAACAAACATGAAAAAGTTAAATAATGTTGTAATCACTAAGAAAACTGTAAACCCAGGTAATAAATGTCATTTGGTATAGAGAGCACATATATTTATTCATCCACTTTTTTCTCAAATGTGTTTACAGTGTACCTAGCCTATACATTTTGTAAACCAAGTAAGATACTGGTGGAGTAGAGTGTAATAAGCTTTCAGTTTTTTATTTTTATTTAATTTTTAGATATGCAAGCATCAAAATGTTCTCTCCTTGTTCCTGGCAGAGAGACACTGTCAAGATAGCAATATAAAATGTCGTAACCTTATGTAAAAGATTGTCAGCCACCATGGAGAACATCAGTGAAGTTGTTCTGGCCAAAGCTCTGAGTCTTTACAAGAGACTTTACATTCTCGTACAATTTTTACATCAGTGGTGTTGAACATAATTTAAATACTAATCTACAGATGCCATAGTTTGGAATTATGGAATATGCTGATCTTACAGCGCAGTAAAGATACTCAGGGTGTAAAGATAAGGGTGGCTGTGGCTCATGAGGTAGGGCAAGTCGTCTTCTGACCAGCAAGTTGGTGGTTCGACTCCCGGTCTCCCCACATGCCTAAGTGTCCCTGAGCAAGACACTGAACCCCAAATTGCTCCCGGTGGCTTGACTAGCACCGTTGTGTGGCAGTCTTGTCGTCATTGGTGTGTGAATGTGTGTGTGAATGGGTGAATGGTGTATAATCTCCCTGTAAAGCGCTTTGGCCAGTGCAATCTTTACAATCTTCAGGGTGTCTTATGTCTGGCCCTATGATAAAGTTATTATCAGTTCTTGGGGGGAAAAAGAGATAAACCTCACTCTCACCACTAGCTGGCTTACAGCTAATTTCCACCAGATGTGGCTTTGTTGCGTTCCATCAGTGATCAGCTCCTGTGATCGTGTCACAGATGAAACGCAATGCAGCTGGTGGAAATGAGGTGTTAGGACCTCACTCTCACCACTAGCTGGCTTACCGCTAATTTCCACCAGATGTGGCTTCGTTGCGTTCCATCAGTGACGCGATCAGCTCCTGTGATCGCGTCACAGACGAAACGCATTGCAGCTGGTGGAAGTGAGGTGTTAGAATGTTTCCCCATAATTCCACTTTCTCTACCACTGTCATGCAACTAATACCCTAAAAAAGAGAACAGCTGGGCTGTTAGAGTCTCCCTCTGACATTATTACATTCATGTTCTTCAGCCACTGTCAGTTTAAACATACACACAGTATTACAGCAGTAAGACAAACCCCCTCTAATGAACATATCGACTTTCATTCTGTAGCAAGTTATAACATATGATAATCAGATACTGACCAACCACAATAACTTATATTGCACAATTGGTCATGTTCACACTAACTGTTTCACCATAATGAACAAAGCAGTTAAAGCTTAATGCCTTCAGTCTCTTACTAAGATAAACACTTGGTCATTATAAAAAGACTTCTGTTATTTAGGTTTATAGATACCATTTTGTCTTTTTTTTCCACTGTGATCAGATTTTTAGTAAATCCTTTACTCCTGAGTAAAAATAAATGACCCTCCAGTTTTTAGGATCCATAAATTGTCCGAGTTCCTCCAGCACCATAGCACTTCATGCTCCTCATTAAACTAGATTCAAATGAGGACAGAGCCGGTGCTCAAGCATTACTGTCCCAGCCAAGAATCAGCTCTGTGCCTTGGCCTAGACTGCATTGTGTTCCATTAAGGATGTACATTCTTCAGATTACTGTGGTGGTTCAGGCCTCTGGTCTTGCTGCTGCTCAGGTGAGGGTGGCTGCTGTCCCGTTGGATCAGGTGTGATGATTTTCTTCTGAGGGGCCTGTGGAGATGCTGCCTGCTGTGACTCTGGATTGGGCATCACTTTCCTGTCGCTGTGCTGAATTTCCAGAGGTGGTGTGTCCTTGCAGCAGAAATACTGCTGCCAGATTTTCCGAAAGGCTGTTCGGAACCTCTTAATGCGGAAAGCGTAGACTATTGGGTTGACAGCAGAGTTACCGTGGGTGAGAGAGATGGCAATGGGTAGGAGGACTATGGGCTTCTGGCACTCAGGGCAGAAGAGTGTGATGCAGTTGAAGATGTGGAGGGGGAGCCAGCAGATGGCAAAGAGAAAAAGGACCAGAGCCAGAGATTTAGCAAGATTCAACTCCTTGTCATAGTACTTGTTGGGGTCAGTGTGACTGGTAGTGAACTTCTTATTGTTAAGTTGCTTGTGGATCATATAGAAGATCTCTGCATAGATACCCAGCATGAGAAGCAGCGGTGGCAGCACCCAGCCAAAAAAGTTGAAATACACCATGTAGTCCATGCTGATGACGTTTTCAAACTGGCAGGTGATAACGAGGTCAGAGCTGATGGAACTGTTCTGCTGCAGGTGACTCAGGTTGTTCCATCCTAACATGGGTGTGAGCCCCACAATAAAAGCCACTGTCCAGCATATCACCACTGCCAGACCTGCTCTCCGAGTGGTCACCACTTGCTTGTACCTGCAAGAGCAAACACCACGGTATTATGTCAGCACTTTCTCTCACAGAACTGTCAGGACATGCAGGCATTTTTTTTTTTACTTCATCTGTCATGTTGGCAGTGTCCTTGAGCCGACAAAAAGTGCAATTCACAATAAAAAGCTATCTTTTTTAACCACAAGCCTCCAGGCACTACAAACAGCTCCTGGCAGCACATATTTCCACTTGAACAAAACCCTTATCAGTAAGCCTTGCTCTTTGCAGCGCTGCAGTTGTTCATGCTTCTTTTGTTTACCAAATTAGTGGATTAGTATTATCTACAAATGTTTTACAGCAGCACAGTGACAGTGAAGACAAGCTGTAACACCTCTGCTACAACAGGTTTCACTGGCTTGGCTTTTTTGGTGTTTATAGCATTTAATTGATAAAAACCAGAAGGTACAGTACTGTCAGTAAAAGATGGTGAGCTTCTGAAATCTTATCATTGATGTCTTGTCAAGAAGAAAAGCCAGAAAGACTCAGCCTGATCATTGTCTAGAAGCAGGAA